ACTCGCAAAGTAATTTTAAGTACGGTTAAAAAATCTTAGAGAAGGAGGAAAGTTTGCCAAATTTTCATCTAGGGTGGCCCGAGGTAAAAAATGAAAAAGAAAAAAGATCTTCAGCGCTTTGTCTGCCTTGATGATCGTGATGGACGTCGAGGAAGCTCAAACAAAGACGTCGAAATATGCAACAAAATGCACTGTTTCCATTTTTTTCAGGGAAATGTTTGCATTTACTGAATGTACCACAAAATAATATCCCTTCAGACACTTTTTAAAGTGTTATTACAACATTCTAGCAAAAACACACACTTAAGTATATACCGAAGTGTCAAAGAGGCCGAAAACTGACAAGAGGAACATTTATGTAATCAAATCAAACCTCCTACATGAGAGAAAGCCTGAGGCCCACTGATTGTTAAAACCGTCTTTTGGGTTAGACCTCGCGTGAATAACCGGCCCTAAGTGTTTTGCGTTCAGTCTTAAGAATAAGACAGATTGCAAAAATTAGATATATGTCCCATCGCCAACTCAGGGAAGCGAAGACTTATGTCATCTACGACATGGAGTAAAAACTAATTAATGCCATGCGGGTTTAAATCATTTATCTCAAAAAGTTGGATTGTTCACATTTGGATGCTTGGGCCAACAAGTTGGTGACTTCTGTCTGATATTATCCGAGAACTCTATTGATAACTATATTCATATTTTAATACAAGTTTCAGTCTGAAACATGCAATGGACAAAATACGAACAAACATAAATAACTTTATTTGCCAAACTTAAACCCGTCCCATCTTCATAACCATTTTCTTTCAGCTTCGAATGGTCCTATATTTTTTTTTGTTACGAGTGTTATTTGACCACTTAACACTTTTCTTATCAGTTGATGGAGGTTACTCTTCATGGGGTACATGGAGTATGTGTAGCAGGTCATGTGGGGGAGGATATCAGTCGCGCTCTCGTACATGTACCAATCCTGCGCCAAAATATGGAGGACGAACATGCTATCAACAGCGGAGACTGGGACGAGCTACAGAATGGAGAAGGTGCAACACAAATGTTAACTGTCCAGGTAACAAAATAACTATTTCTATTTTCCACAGGGTCTTAAGTGAGAGGCTGAAGACTAAAACATGCACACTACTCAAACGCTCGCCCTAACTAGGTATCTGCCAGGCCAGTTGGGAACCAAAATCCTTTTAACTATCATAATTCCCGTATGGACCCGCTCCCGCATTCCTGTGGAAAACCATAATGAGACCTGACTTGTATATCAATTGAATTTTTAACGGGATGTAGATAATAACTTCGCTACTTTTTCAATATTTCCTGTATTGTTTTTTTTAGAAGTTGAAGTTTGTTAACGGCCCTAGAAATTTATTTGCACTTACGACGGAGAAAGGAAACGCTTTTAATTTCTAATCTATATTCTTATTGTCCAACATGCACCTTTCTATAGAATGCAATCCATTTCTACCTAGGTCCAAACACTATGATGATTTATAAAATAATTGACATAGTACGCGCTCTCAATGGTCAACTGGCCAGTTTCGATAAGAGTATATAAACACATTTGTGACTTCACATTTTTTCTGTTTGTATTCACAATTTGAAAACTTTATCATATCAAAGCTTTCTCAGTACTCACAAAGTAATTCCAAGTACATTTAACAAACATTAGAGGTGGAGAAAAATTTGTCTAATTTTCATCTGAGGTGGTCCGATGCGCAAGTTACATTTTGCAGGGAAATTTTTTCTTCATTTGACCACTTAACACTTCTCTTATCAGTAGAAGGAGGTTACTCTTCATGGGGTACATGGAGTATGTGTAGTAGGTCATGTGGAATAGGATATCAGTTGCGCTCTCGAACATGTACCAATCCCGCGCCAAAATATGGAGGACGAACATGCTATCAACAGCGGAGACTGGGACAAGCTAGAGAAAGCAGGAGGTGCAACACAAATGTTAATTGTCCAGGTGACAAAATAACTATTTCTATTTTTCACGGGGTCTTGAGTGAGAGGCTGGAGTCTGAAACTCACACATTACTCAGACGTTCGCCTTAATTAACTGCCAGGCCAGCTGGAAACCAAAATACTTTCACTTATCATAATACCCGTATGGACCCGCTCCCGCAATCCTGTGGAAAACTATAATGAAACTTGTCTTGTATATCAACTGAATTTTTAGGGGAGTGAAATGTAACTGTGCTACTTTTTCAAATATTTTCTGTTGTGTTTTTCTAAAAGTTATCGATTGTTTTCCTGACGTTTATTGAAATCTTGTTTCAGCTTGAGAGAACGATCGCCCAGATGGTTTCTGCCACAAGTGGGTGTCCCTATGCTCAAGCAATAAACGATTTGCAAACTTTTTTGAGAAAAGTTGTAACACCTGTCGGGATTAATTGTCGTAAAATGCTAAGCTGATAGTGATACATTATTAAATAACGGTTTTTGAAGCACAGCCATCATCGTTCTTCAAATATTTTTAAAATTGTCTTGAATTTTAAATGGTTAGTCTCCTCTAGTACTAATGACTTTGTCATTGTTGCAACGTAACCTCGTGTGATTGAAAATGAAGAATAAAAAAATACTCGAAAACACCGATGGCAATAAGAAATCAGGCATTTTTTATTCAAAGAGATGGGAAGGAATGGGGGGGGGGGGGGTGGAGGACTTTTGGGGGGGTCAGTTGGGTTTCAGGGGGACCAGAGGGTGATTAGTCGTTGCCAACAGAGTTGCCGAAAACGGATTTTGAGTCGTTTGCGTGTTTGATTTTCCGTTCTGTAGATTCAAGGCGTTGTTTCCTTGCCGCTTTACAGAACAACCTCCAAAAACTTTGTACACCCCCTTAATATTTTTAAAAAATTAACTTTCTCCTGAGAAACATTGGGAGCAGGAAAATTCCCTCCAACGGCAACAAAATGCAAAGTTCGTGGAATTTTAAACCTTGTGTACTTGAGCCCGCGTCATTTTCCCCGTAAACCCGTGATGTAGCATTTCGTGCATTTCGTTGTTCAGCTCTGCCTCCAGCGGAGCAGCTTCCGAGGAGTAAAGATGAGCCGATGCCGTTTTATGCGAATGAATACGATACCGAGTACGATACTGACCTTTTTTCTTCAATATCGATATCGATGCTGTGACGTCATTGAGTTTAATGTCTAGTCACGTGATTTGATTGACGAAATATAGGGTTATCTCGCACTGTTAAGTTGTGCAGTGTTGAGTACTCTACAGAAGCATCAATAAGACAGTTAAAGATTTAAAACTATGTCGATGTGTTTGGGGATAAGACCCAACGACTGTGTTTCGGTTGTCTTCTCCAAGTCACCTGTCAAAGCACGTGATTGCAAAAGGCTGCTAAAATTCCTTGGCAAAAATTATATTTTGGTTAAATTAGAACTGTATAATGTCAAAAAATTTGTCCACTGTACACAAGCAAGCTTTGGATAAAGATTTTTGGAGGAAAGAATTTGTTAAGCTCGTTTTTTTCCAAATATAAGGATTAACATGTCCTTAAAGTGGAATGCACCAGCCTGAAAACAAAATTTGTGCACCGATCAGTTTTGAAGTTTCAACATTTCCCCGGGCAACCCACTAGCGTTTGACGGTTGTTCATGCAGCCCGGGTGGTGGGGAATTTGAACCTTTCCTGACTAGCTGGCTGACTGGGGGATTAGAACGGGAAGTATCAAGTCTATCCAGTGTAAAACAAATGTTATATTTTTAAATATGAAGGTGTTTAGGGTAACTACATACATGTAGTTTACTTTCGCGCTCAAATGGCACAGAAGAAAAGGTTTACAAGGTCTAGGTTTTGAAGCTTGGTCAAAGTGTAAAAGGTCACGATCATTAATATTGCCTTGTATGGTAAAATGGTGAGGCATTTGAACACAATTTTTGCCCTCGCGGGGGGTAGGGGCAGATATTTGAACAAACCAATCTACAAAAATTCAAATGCAGGGGGGGGGGTTGCGCGGGAGGGAGATGTTGAAGCGTTTAATTAATCGAAGCATTACCTGGTACAAGTTTCTGAATTGTTTGGTAAGAGATACACTAAGGAAATCATTACATAGACAAAGAAGACATTTTTAGAATTTATAATGCATTTACAATGCATTTATAAAACATTTATGAGGCATTTATAATTTGTACTTATGGACTCAGTGGGAAAGCCGGACGGGAAAATATTTGGCTTCAGGTCATGACGTACGAACAAGGCACAGCAAGGTCCGTGCGTCATGAACGAGAACAAGAATATTTTCCCCATCGGCCTGAATTTACCCATGATCAGTCAGTAAGCATTTAACAAATAAACTTAGTCTACGGCGTTATAAAAGGCTTTCCAGCCCTGAGAAAAGCTGTAACAATACACGTGAAAAAATATCGTATTTTTTCACGTGTGTTTAATATCGCCAATCAGCTGCTGACACGTCACTCGCCTTTCGCGCTTCTCGGTCAGGTTGATGAATGAACGCAACTCGCGCTCATACGCTGACAAGGGAGCATCGCTGGTTTAGTGGACACGAATTCCTGAGTGAGCATGAAGATGCCTGGCCTTAAGGAAAATGCACAGTGTTTGAGGAGCGTTCAGAAGAATGATTAGCTGAGATAGTCAAACCGAACATGACCTTTGCATAAGAGATTTCACAACCGTTGATGAATCTACTAAAGTATTCCAGTTGGAACCGACTTAGAAGAGTCACAGCATGGGTGAGACGTTTTGCTGATCTGTTGTTGGCCAAAGTGAAGAAGCAAGGCAAACCTGTAGGTGTTGTTGCCAGGACTTACATTGACGCCAATTGAAATAGACAGAGGTGGAGAACTGTGGGTGAAACAAACACAGGAGGAGAGATTTCCTGAAGAGATAAAAGATTTGATTGGAGGAAAAGAAGTCAGAAGACAGAGCCACTTGAAATTTCTTACCCTATTGTGGATGAGCTAGGTATATTGCGAGTAGGAGGGCGATTGGACCGAGCAGAACTATCTTATGATGCTGCACACCCCATGAACTTGCCAAAGAAACATCACATCAAGCAATTAATTGTTGCAGACGTCCATAACCGTTGCCGACATGCGGGCGTCAACCACGTGCTAGCTCAGGTACGAAACCGATGCTGGATTATAGATGGTCGCCAGGAAGTGAAGAACTTGGACAAAGAATGCGAGGTGTGTGAGAGAAGACGTGTACAGCCATCAGTGCAGATCATGGCACCGCTTCAAAGGAGGAGAGTTGGAACAACGATGAGAGCGTTTGCAAAGTGCTGTGTTGATTACGCTGGCCCCTTCACGACCAAGATTACTCGAAGAGTTTCTGATAAAAGGTATTTGTGCCTGTTTACGTGCTCAGCCACCAGAGCGGTGCATCTAGAAATGGCATGTTCATTGAGCACCACAGATTTCCTGAATACGTTCAGCCAAATGGTAGCCACCAGGGGAAGACCAGAAGAAGTGACAAGTGATTATGGGACAGACTTTGTAGGAGCGGAGAGAGAGAGCTCAGAGAACTTGTTCAAACAATGGACCAGGAACAGATCGCCGGTAATGTTGCCAATAACGGGCTCAGATGGAATTGGAATCCTCCGCTGGGGTCGCTTTTTGGTGGGGTGTTTGAGTCGCTGCTTAAAGTAGCTAAGAAAACTCTGAAAAGCCGTGCTTTTTGCAGTGTTTTCATTGCTAGAACTTCTCCCTACAATATCCATGCGCTATCCAGCAAACAGGTAATGAGAATACTCAAATGTATCAGGTACAAGTTGATATCTTGATCTAAAAACCAAATTCTCGCAACTTATATACAAGGAAATGTGTAGCAGCTAGAGGGAGAATTAACAGTTAGATCTTGGGAGTTAAATGGTTAACACGTGCGGATTTGAATTTAAGAGATCCTCGCAGGCAAGAACACTACTGAACTAGTAGTTGAAGATAGGACCTGAAAAAATTCAGGCCCGCACGGAATTTGAACCCATGATCTCTGCGACACCGGTACAGCGCTCTACCAAATGAGCTAACAAGCCAATTGAATGCGGATTTATAATAGACTCAACGTCGAACTTACAGAAGCGATAATGGCGTGCTATTCTTCCTCTACTACCCTCATCGTTAGTCGTTTTTCTTGTGTCCTGTTCATAATCATATACTGCGGAAATGGCGTTATTGTCGATGCAATTTTTACGAATTTGTGGGCTGTAAAAGTTCGTGGCAGTCAACAAGAAGCTGAGGAGTTGGCCCATAGACATGGTTTTTCTTACGACAAACATGTGAGTTTTACTTTAGTAATGGCTTCATTATTGAGTCCGTGTAGTATGCTCCCTTTTGTTCGGGCTACCGTCTTGTGTATAACCCCTAGTATTCCGCAACCGAACACGCATTAACTGACCTTAGAGATATTTTTTTTTAACGGAAGGTTAGAAGATTGTCATTCCGCAATTGACGACACGTTAACCCTTAGAGATATTCTTTTTTGACGGAAGGTTAAGAAGATTGGTAGTCAGGCTAATAAGGCTAAATGCTTAAAGTTTGTGTTTCCCTCTGCTGGGGACTAAGATCTTAAATATCATGTAACTAATGTGAGAAAAATACTGCTCAATTTTGTTTAAAAAAAGGCGTGTGTATTCCAGAAAAATGGCATAACCGTTGGATTTTGTACCCTGAAGGATCAAGATATTCCTTTTTAACGTTGCCTTCGAGAGCATCTGGTTCGACTCGGTTAAAACAATGTGAGATTTTATGGCGGAAGACTCAAAAGCGAATAAAAAGGAATGGAAAAATGGCTTTATGAAGCTGTCCTGGGCCGCGAAGGTTTAAATGAACCCTGTTCGAAATGTGTCAATGAAATTGCAGAGAATTATTGCACGTACTGCGGTGGAAGTTTAGGCGAAACTTCTTCGACTTGGATTCGTATCTTTCAAAACAGAGAGTTTTGAGAGCTTCAAAAAGAAATCTTGAACGAGAAATTTTGACCACAGCAGACAGAGACTGAATTTGTTTTTCCTCGCGAAGTTTGCGAAGTACATAGCAAGCCGCTATTAAGTAGCCATCTTTATATTGACACTTGTTGAGTTTACACGAAACTGATATGATCGCCTAAGCCACTCGAACAGGTAAACCACTTTACTGTAAAATTGAAAACACTGATTTGAGTCTTTGAAATAATCAAGGTTCTGAATATGGCTATGAGAATGAACTGTGTCATTCTTTAAAAGCGTTCGCCGCTTGCGTTGTTTAAAAAATACCCTTCGCATAAATGCGTTAAACGCGAAATTATTTTCAAGGCAAGGGAGTGTTGAACAAATAACACTGGAGATCAGGTATTTATAAGCTTTAATCAAATTCAAATTTATCAAGCTTGTTTACTTAATCTAATAGGGTGCTGACCACTGCTGTTCGAGATTTTTATATTTCTTATGGACTGGCCGTGTAATATTTTTGCGATATTCATGTACTGGAGCCTTTCTTAATGCAAGAGTGCATACTGATTGAACTCTACAGTTCTTTGTTAAATATATGTTACGGTCATGTAGGTGAATAGCAGACTCAATTGAAACTTGACAGAGAAATTTTAAGGTGTTCCTGGAGACTAAATTTTTTTGATCAGATCTTCTGAATAGGTGTTGCAAAAACAATAATTTTTATCTTTACTCATCAGTAAAGATATGTCTTGTTTCTGGAGATAATCATCTTCAGTCCTTTTCTGGACATGTTCAATTAAAATAGGTGGTGTGAAAGTATAGCATAAGTGACTAAGTTTACCAAAATTGATGCTTTCAGCTGTCTGAGGACTATTATTTGTTCAAAAAACTGGGATTTTTGAAAAGGCCAGGGAAGGGTGAATTATCATTGGAGGTTGATGCTAAGTTATCAAGAGAACCAAAGGTAAGACATTGCCTTATTGAAAAATGTTACATTCGTTTAGACAATCGAAAATTAAAAAATATATTCAATATTTCCACCAGTTGTTTGATTATATAATTGCATAATCACATCTTAAATTGTATACTTAAACATATCAATTTTAATAAAAATGATCATTAGCAAGTAGCTAGAGTACATTTTAAGATTTAATGGACTGGAAAAATTATCATCTTGGGCAAATAAATAGCTGTTGTTAGGACAACAAAAGCCTCATTAAACATTTAACAAAAGCACATTTGCAGATTATATTCCCATGAAGCTCTTGAGTACCTTCCAAGAATGCAGAATAACATTACCTTAACAAACTAAGGTATTTAAAGTTGTGGATCTAGGTATTTTAGCACTTACAGTGTAACCCTTTCATTCCAGGATACTATTAGTAATTCTCCTTACTATCTGCAATACAATTCTTATGATGTTAGCTCAGAGAATTTGGTATTGGATCAACTAATAAACCCCTAGCTGATATTTTTCTGACCACAAACTCACATTATTTTATGAAACTCATCACGTGAGGCAAATTAACATACCCCTTTAAGGCCCTGCTCACATTCCACAACATACACTGATCACAATAAGCCTCATTTGTGAAAATGTAAACTGTAACTGACAGTTGCAATTTATGATAACAAATCATATTGGTTGATAGATGCATTAATTAGTTATTGAAACTTTTTATTCTTTTTATGTCTTGCATGTTTAGAATTTATCAGCAAGTTATGATTTTGTAAAAGGAAGAACAGCTTATTTAAGGAATAAAGTAAAAGGGTATGACTTTTAAAATGTTACTTCAATTGTTAATGCTAAAATATCAATTACTTGTGATAAAATTCAATCATTAGTGCTACCAACAACTCGTTATTGTAAATCAATTTAGTTTCCATTCTAAAATGGTCAATAATTGGCGCTGAACCTCAATCTATTGTGTTTTCACACCAAATGCCACTGTGAGACTCCAATTAAAAGGGCTAATTATAAATCGCTCGTGTCCTGAGGTACACTGTAGATGGCCAATCATAGGTAGTGTCAAGCGATAGTATAAAACACAAGCGTTTGAGGTTCAGCACTAATGATTGAGATTTTATCACTAGTGATTGATATTTTAGCACTAACGATTGAGTTTTATCACTAGCAATTGATGTATGCATTTTTGGCACAACTGGTTCCCCATAACTACCCTTGTGAAATGGATTTTGGAATTCTTAGGAATTCTTAGGTTTTTTTTCCTCGGAATTCCTGGGAATAAGAGGTGTGAATTTTCATGGTAAATCTGAACTGGGAATTCTTAAGAATCTAAAGCCTAATTTGCTTATCAATAATTTATCACAATAACCATAGCAACAACCACCTATTCTAAAAAAACTGAGGAATTTCCAAAATGGAGAAACTTTTTTAACTTGAGACATTGTCTCTACTGGAGATATTTCACCTAAATGCATCTATGGTTTTGGGAAATTGTAATAGTTATGATTAATTGGTAACAGGACTTCTCGTCGTCCAATTCTGTCTGTAATCATACCTATGATTGACAAATTGGACTCCCGTTTTGAAGTTGTCCAATTTTGTTAATCACTTACAAGTATGATAACAGATTGAATTGGACTCCACTTTGTTCTATTACCATTATTACTTCACCGATACCTCGCCGGCAACTCACCGAGTATCAGTCGATAGTTGATCGACACTCGGTCATGGTCGACATCCATAGTCAGATACTTGACCGATGTAACGCTCAATAATCGGTCAACAATCGGTCGATATATCGGTCGAGAGTCGGCCGATACTAGATCTATGCATCGTTCGAGATGAATGTCAATGAGCATCAGTAATGTCACAGTCTCCCTTTTCGCTCGTCTCCCGACGCTTGTGCTACTCGCGGCTCGCAGCTTCGTCATTCGCATGTCACGCTTACATTTACGCTCGTACGCTAACTTGTTTTGCGTTCTTTTCCACGGATTTTCGAGCAAAAGAAAGACTGCTCGCAGTCTAGCCTCACACCGAAACATTTTCTTCCATCGCATGATAACATTAATTGATGACGTCATCGCTTAAAAAGAAAGCCATTGAACTGCTAAATGAACACACCAGGTCGATACTCAACACTGACATTCGACCGACAACAAAGACGTTTTATGACTGGGCTACCACAGGTATCCCAGTAATGATTCCCTCGTTGTTTTCTTTATTTTTGAGGTCTTCTCCACCCCATGGAGTCACCTCACGTGAGACTGGAGTTTTATTTGACCCAGTTCCTTCAGGGCCGGTGGCTGCTGTGGTTTTCTTTATACTGTGCCGCTGTTTCACCTCAGAAAAGGTCTTTCGATGTTGTCTTTTACATACGATTCTTTGTCTACGGCATCTTGAAGAGACATGCGTGCTTTCTATATGCTTAAATGCTTATAAATCGGTATCTACAGGCGCTCTAAACTACAGAGTAGGCTTTTAACTTAAAAATTTACATCAATACCAAATACCAAACTATCCCAATACATACTGTTTAATTCGCTTCTTGTTCCAGCCAGTATGGTCGGTAGCTCCAGATTCCATTGCTCGTCGGTAGTTAAGGCCTAATAAGAAAGTTAAAAAAAGGAATAAATCGCTTATGAAATTGGTTTAAATCATGAGTTAATAGAGCGAGCTTATAAAATTTCACAAAAAAAGAAAGCAATTCGTTTAATAAAAGTCGTTTCGACTGATATCAAGCCTCATCAGAATGTCTA